TCCATGTCACTCATGCCCTCATTACCATGTTGCTGCACCATCACCCTGAGCTCAAACTTGGGCTCTGGTGTGCACGTTCGAGACGGGAGGGTGTGTGCTCCTAAGCCTCGCCGCCGGTCTGCGACATACGTCGCTCGCCCCTTCACCTGTCCATCGTGTTTGTTCACCTCCGAATGGTGTCTTCAATTGCCATGGCCGCCACAACGGTTTGCGATGCTGTGGAAGCGTGTGACCTGCGCGTCAATGTCCACCTTGGCGATCTCTGCCTGTCTTAGCGGCTGACCCAGTGTTCCAGCTCACGGCTAGCGACATTGATTTGATTCTGCTGGCGGCGGCGGCCATGTGCACTTGTGTGTCGTGGTCGAGCAACTTTGTCACTGGTAGGACTCCGGCAGGATGTCCGTGGGCGAGACTAGAACGGCAACCGGAGCCTGGACTTGGCTCCACCTGTTGTTTGGGGCAGCTCTGAGCGACGGCTCTTTGTTGCTCCTGACCGGTCGCTGAGGCTTCGTAGGCTAACACCGGCAAAGCCTGTGCGCCGCAGCCCTTTGTAGAGCTTCCCTTTGCTGTTTCACCGCTTTGTTGTAGTTTGTTGTTTGATTTTTAGTTTCGCTTGTTTGTAGGGACCGAGTGCTACAGCCGTAGTCGACGAGGCCCAGTCAAGCCAAAAAAAACAGTCGCCATTGGGGAGTTGGCGGCCGACACGCCTGCGCGGCGGGCGCAGCGAATTGCGGCCGATGGCACCCATCAATCGGGCGTCTACTTCGTCAGGCTCCCCAGGCAAGCCTCCGACATGTGCAGAGAGGCCGGGTGGTTGAATGGTTTTGCGTTCTCCTGGTCACCGCATTGCGGTGCAAGCCGGGCGGAAAATTAGGCGGGCGCAGCATTTAACGCGGCAGAGTCCACCTAGCCAGACGCCACGCTTTATAGTGGTCGCGGCGTTTAACGCGGCAGACCTCAGGGGATTTTTCTTCCATCCCACGCAGCTTCCAAGGCAAGCAATAGTCCGATTTGGCCTTCGAAATGCTTCCATTCTCCGATTCCGCAGTTTTCTCTTAAGATCTGTTTGTCTAAGCTTCTTTTTGCTGCAATGGCAAGAACGGCAGGGTCACGAGCTGGATCCGCAATGACTGCACGTTGGCGAGGCGGATGCATCACCATGGGTACGAGACCTTCAACCAGCTTTTCACACCTCTAATCGAGCAGCTGAACGACAGTTTGACCGTTGGTGGATGCGGAATGGATGTCGACCTCGATTGATGAAGTGGTTCCGTTCTGGCAGATCCTACGGAATTGTGTGGCTTAGGTTCATTGCGGCAGTGCGTAGAGGGTCCAACTTGGTGTGGCTTCAGCGTCTTGGCTACAGAATCACTCAGGCAGGTCAAGTGGAGGAGGACCGCTTTTCTTAGAGGAAATGCGTTCTACTCTACTTTTGGACTCTGCTGGTCAGTCCTTGAAGAGCCTTCTGCTTGATGGCAGTTTGGAGGACGGTGATTTGCGTTTGTCTCACACTTGTGTGTGTCAAACACAAGCCTCCACACCCAGAATTCTCAAAGAGAATGCGGGTGCGTGTCTGGGTGGGCGACAGGTTTGAAGAGCAGGAAGGGTTGGAGGAACCCAGAAGGTTGATGGCTTTTTCGCTGCCTTCCGCAAAGGGGTCGGCAAGCGGCCCTTCAACACAGTTGGCTTTTCAGACGACAGAGGCCCTCGCATGGAACAGATCATGCGTTTTCACGTCCGTTTGTTCCAGCTGAAGCATTGGTTTGGCGGACAAGACATGTTTTCAGTGTGTGGCCAGCTTCGCAAGTCTCAAAGAAACAGCAGGGGGGTCACTTGGAAGGACATGTCTGCTTTTAAGAAGCCTTTTGTAAGCCCTGCCCCACCTCGTGTACAGGTAGAGGTGGCAGGCGAAATGAGGGATGTTGTCACGCTCGACTGAAAAAGACTTTGGGTTTGGGAAAGCAGGTTTGAGTGAGGTTGGAAAGCAAAAACGGAAAAACGCGTTTTTTGTTCGCTGGCGGCGCGCGCTCCGCGCGCGCCGTTTATTTCTTTTTAGTTAATAATTAGTTACCGCGCGAAACGCCGCGCCCGGCGCAGAGTTCAGACCATCGGCCTCGTTGGAATCGGCTCAGAACTTCATGGTGGGGCTTCTGTCTGGGTTGCTCTGCAACCAAAGAAGAATCAGCCATTCTCCCAGACCTTCATTCTGCTTGGGATTGAACTTTCGCTTAAAACGGCGGACCAGAGCTTCTGAAGGTGCGCAACAAGCCGAACCGTGTTGTGGAACTACGTGCTGAGCTTGACCGGTTTTTCTCGCAGGGCTACATGAAGAGGTCTAAGGCACCATGCTTGCCGAGGGTGATACATGCTCTTGACTCGCGGTATGCCATCAAAACTCTTTTACCGATGGTGCATGGGACAACAAAATCGCAGGTGCGGAGGCGGTGCTCCAGTATTCTCTGGACCATGGATCCAAGGTGGCGGAGGTGGTTATTCCAGAATGCCTCATCGAGCACTAGGGCAGACATGGTGGCACTCAGCTTATCTCGCAGTTGGAGCTCTTCCCAGTGCTGACCACTTCATTATGCTTTCGATGATTGCCTGGGTGGCTCGGCGGTTCCACTTCACGCTGTGGTTCACGGAATCGATTCCTGCAGACAAGTTGAGCTTCCCTTGACCTTGGACGGTGCCTTCGTGAACGGCTGCTTAGCAAGCGGTCCTTCATTGATATGTGCCAAGGTGTGATGCCGTTTGGTGATGGGGAAAATATGGAAGAGAGACTTTGGCAGTGATCGGGAAGCCTTCGTGCGGCCATCATTGTACCGCCTTCGGCTCTTAGTCTCTTGAGTTCCCGTCGCGTGGCATCCGAAGTTGGGCAGCAGCATCTCCCCTTTTGCGTTCAAAATGAAGACGGTCCGAGTGGTTGCTTCAATTTGATATGTTTGACAAATATTCGATGTCCCACATATCAATTGGGGAATATGACTGGATTGCGAAGAGTGAAGCAGGTCACGACCTTTGCGATACACCTATGTTGTATGTGAGTGCATGTTGTATGTGGTGATGGAGTTGTGGGTTCAAGAGTAAGCCAACAAGACGACATCTCGTACCACATTGGTATGACCCGTATACCATATTGCTATGCTTAACACTACCATAACTACATTAGTTCTTGTTGTGCGGTATGATCGCTTCTAGTCCTTTATTCTCTCTTGACTGGTTATGTCGTTTTGTCCAACACTGCTTAACAAAACATTTACAAACGGGACATTCATTTTTCTTGTATATAACTTTTTTTTGTTGATAATGTTCCTTTGCTTTGTTAACCTTTTCTTCTTTATGTCGGTTATATTTTCTCACGCTTCTTTTCAAGGGTAGTCGCGATTGTTTTGCTAATGTTTTTTATCAGTCCTACCCGCAACAATCTTATTCACACAATCTAACTTTTTGATGCGACGACTTACCGACGCCTAAGTTCTTCAATGTTGTTACACGGGTATTTTTCAATCAGCTCAATCTTACAGTTAACTAAACCGTATGCTTCAAACAGCCTTAGCGGTGTTATGAATGTACATGTATTCTTTTGATATGACGCATAATTATGCCTATGCCTTGCCATGTTTTTTCGACTCAATTTTTCACAAGTAGAACCTATGTAACACGTATTGTATCCAACATCTACAGTTTTGTAAGTTTTAGCATTTATATGTTTGTTCATCTCCCTGCTTATCATAAAATGTCATATCTCTAGAATGCTTACAGCCACTTAAATCAACCCCCTCGCGCCCTCGCCGAACGACCAACTTCAGTTCCCCTTCGCCCCCTTGGTGAAAACTGAAATTCCCCACCCCACGCTCCTAAGTGAATATTGAAATTCTCCACCCCGCGCCCCCTTGGTGAATATTGAGATTCCCTAGCCCGCGCCCCCTTGGTGAATATTGAAATTCACGATCCCGCGCCCCCTCGCCGAACGACCAAGTTCACTTCCCCGGCGGCGCCGAACGACAAAGTTCCCCAATTAAAGTTCTAAACAAACGCTGAATGCAGAATCTCAGGGTTATGTTACAACCCCAGACCCCCAGACCCCAACCCACCAAAGCAAAATGCCAGCAAAACTACTTAAAGAAAAAAACCTTAATAGTATATGGGAGATCCGGATTATGACTATATAGTGGATGATGTATTAAGTGGTCAGGTGAATAAGGTTATTAGAGACGAAAAGGGATACACATATAATATAGAAAACCAACTTTCAAGTATATTGATGAAAAGATTAAGGACATCGTCCAAAACACAAGGATTTAGACGATTTGAGACATGAACGACGGTGACTAAAAGCATAGCATTTAGAAAGGCATTGAAGAAATATGTTGTAAGCAAAAACGCGAAAGCGAAGGTCGCAGATGAAACAAGCGCTTTTAAACGTTGTGCCAATTCCTATGCCATATCCAACATAAACCCCAAGGGTTACAAGGGTTTATCATTTTGAACATACCAAAGAGAAAGACTACAGGAGCTTTTAGACAACAACAACAACAATATGAACGTTAGAATTGATGTGGATGCTACTTTTAACCATCAGTATACGAAGAAAAAAGAAGTAGAATATGTAGAATACACAGCCGAGACGAACTCGAAACTGCAATTGATAACATGGCATCCCTTCTGTTAAAAAGGATGCTGTCCGGAGTGCAGCTGAGCTCTCCGAGCACGCAGGCAGTGCTAGTTGTTAACCGAAAATCTCAAGCGACAGTGGATTGCTGCCGAGTACATGGCTTGCGCTCTGCAGTTCTTGACGGCTCACCCCGGTCCCATCGTGGTCACCGACGATAGTACGATGAGCACCGCTTGATACGAGTTGCATCTGCGGGTTACAAGGCTGCCTAAGAGTCGAGAAGAGAATTGTATGTTGATAGGCACCAGAGCAGCAAGGCATCATTCGTCTGTAGGATTTGTTGGGAAAGCTGGCTGGAGGGATGTCGTAAGAGCACACAGCATGTATGGTTGCCATGGACTGCGCCTTGCGTGATGACTGGACTCATGAGTGCATTCCAATACCTGTGATTTTAATCCAGATTCTCTCTAAGAGCTTTTGCGTCTTTGTGGTGATCGACGCGGTTGTTTTCGCGCTCTATGGCGTCAGCTTGTACTACTCCCGCAGACCGTATTGTCGAATATTGAGTTTTGGATGTCTCGTCTTCGGATTGCAGTTGTGTCTTCCCCAGGTTTGGTTGGAGAGCCTGGATCCAAGATACATGGCTTCCTCAAAGCTCTCGGTCTACTTGCTCTTTGCCATCGGCGACGTTGTCGCACATGTTGGTCTTATGATGAGTGTTTACTGGGACATTTGCATGGAGGCTGTGCTTCTGATCTATGCATTGGCACCTGCACACCAAAGAATCGGATACAAAGTATCCACCTGGGTGGGAGCCATGTCAGTTGCGAGCCAGGTCTTGTTCTTGATTCCGTTTTGGACTCTGATGTACCACTTGCCGATGGGTTCGACCCGAAATTTTCTTTCAGGCACATTCTTCGTTGTGCAGTGCTTCACCATCTTCGGGGTCATTCCTGCGGCAGGATTCACGGTTCTTGCTCATGGTGTGCGCAAACTCCGGGGCAAGTTGCCTACAAGCATTCCAAGACACTTGACGCATCGACTGCGTTTCACACAGCTGGGCATTGCAATTTTCATTTTGATGGGTGTTGCGGATGCATTCTTTGCATTGATTCCAGCAACGCAACCATTCATTAGGAATTTTTCAAGTTTTTTGTATGTCAATCTCGTCCTCACCTCCCTCGCCATCTTCACCTTTCTCCTGCTTGCCGTGGACCCCGGGGTTTTCTGGGAATCCTTTACTAGTATTGGGAAGTAGGGCTGGTTGCTTTTAACATCTCTCCTTGAAAGTTGTGTTTGTTAGGAAATGTGAGTTTGTGTGCAGTCTTGAGCCGTCCTGGACCGCAACCGTGGACCCCTGCGAGGAGTTGTACTTGAACATCCAGCAGATACGAAGCACGACGGTCTCCCCGGTTCCACTTCAGGCGCATGCTCTGGCCAACATTGCACCTGGCCCGAAATGCAAAATGGAGTTTAAGGCTCAAGGATTCGGAGTTTAAGGCTCAAGGATTCGCAGACGTTGATGACTTTCGGAGGTGTGGGTGTGCTCTTGCCTAGCATTCTTAGCTAATCTTCTCCGCTACTTCCAGCTAGGCGTGCGGGTGCTTCCAAACAAGCTACAGCCAATGTCCTGTTCTCGAGTCACTTAGTTCGCCATTCCGGAATAACGCCGAAATCCGAGATTCAACGATCTTTCCGCACCCTAACCGCGAAACCCTTTTTGCCCCTTACCCCTACACCCTAGATTAGAAGCCTTTCATGTGTGAAGCGTAGGATTCTCCCAGGTGAAGCATGGCGTCGCCATGCTCGCAAGAGATAGCCAGTTTCATGCTCCGGCTGCTGTATGGGAGCGAGGCGTTCTGCTGACGGTCGCGACTGGTTTCGGCGACATTCTGGAAGCCAAGAACATCTTGGCAGCCAAGTGTGGCCCAGGGGATGCTCGGATAATATATATATATATATATATATATACACTGTTTTTTCTATACAGAGTCTAAACCACATATATGTAAGTGTTTAGCCATATATAGAAATATGTGGTTATGTACACACATGCACATATACATATGCATTTTTATGTTCACACGCGTATATGTACACAATGCAAGTTTCAATGCATAGAATACTATGGACATGTTTTTTTGGTATGTGTGTGTTGGTAGTGCCCGAAGCGCGAAATCAGAAGCCGCGAAGCCACGCTGCTGCCAGTAGCTGTCGCATTCCCGAGTCATATACCGAGTCTGTTATTCAGGTTGCAAGGGGCAAGGTTAATGATGATGACGATGATTTTGATGAGGATGGAGATGTTGATGATCATGATGATGTTGATGATGATGTTATGATGGTGATTATGACGATGATGCTGACGATGGTAATTTTCGTGGTGTTGGATGCAGCTGTAGTGCCGATCATGAAAGCAGCAGTTGCGATGATCGTTACGACTGATGCTGTTCGGTGGAGCCGTCTCACAAACCTATGGGTGGAAGAGTGAACGGCTCTCTGGATGACAAAACTCGTAATGGCCTTGACGGCAGTAGCAGTGCAGTAGCAGGTGCAAGTGAGCAGAGAAGAAGAATTCGTAGTAGTAACTGTTAGTATTATTAGCAGTTGTAATAGTAGTGGTAGTGGTAGTGGTAGTGGTAGTAGTGGTAGTAGTGGCAGTAGTGGTAGTAGTGGTAGTAGTGGTAGTAGTGGTAGTAGTGGTAGTAGTGGTAGTAGTGGTAGTAGTGGTAGTTGTAGTCGTCGACGCCGTCATCGTAGTAGTTGTAGCACTACGATTAAAAGTCAGAGTATCAGTAAGAGTAAATAAGAGAATGAGAGTGGGAGTAAGAGTAAGAGGCAGAGCCGGAGGAAGAGGAGGAGTAAGAGTAAGAGAGTAAGAGTCAGGGTCGGAGTCGGAGTAGTAGGAGCAGCAGTAGGAGTAGTAGGAGTAGTAGGAGGAGCAAAGAGTAGAAGGAGGAGTAGGACTAGGAGTAGTAGGAGTAATAGGAGTTAGTAGGAGCAGTAGGAGTAGTAGAGTGGTAGCAGTAGACTTCATAGTACTAGTAGCAGGAGTAGTCGGAGTAGTAGGAAAGGTAGGAGAAAGAGGTGGAGGAAATTCAGGAGCAGCAGTGGGAGCAGGAGTCAGAGTTGTTGACAGATTGACCTTCTCACAAAGGACCCCGGACCGCAGCCTAATCTTACAAGTTTGTTGTCTTGACTTGACAGATCCCAGGTGACACACAAGCATCGCTTAGGAGTTCAGGGTTTGGAAGTGGTCTAAGGAGACGACCAGCGACCTGTGTGTGGAGCTTCTGAGACCGCTCACCGAGGAGGTATCTTGGGGCAAGATTCAGATCCCAAGCCTACGGACCCGAGTCTTCCCCGAAATTCCGAAACTTTAAGTACTGAGCTTAAAGCCGATAGACCCGTGCACCGTGAAACCCTGGAGCTCCAGGCGAGGTGCTCTGCCTGGGAAGGGCTTTACAAAGGACTCGAACTCCAGTCCTCAGCGCGGACAGAGTCCGCTGTGTCATCGAAATACGTCGGAAAGCCGACGGTGATGGTGAGCCACTGCTGCTGCATCGCACTATGCGCTAACGGACAGTGTTTATGTCCGATAATATACCATCATATGCCACAATATACCATCGTATATCATAGTATACCATAATGAGCCATAATGTCCGATAGTAACCTATAGTGTGCTAGGATCTCTTGTCGTGAGTAGCTCGGTGCAAGGGCGGATCAAAGTCTTCGTGTTTGTTTCCGCGACTCAGGTTGGGCAAGCCCATACTCCCAGCTCATGGCCATTTTGAAGCGCTATGACGAGAATACCAACAGAAACAACTTCTTCTGGATTGATGTCTTTAGCATGAACCAGCACGATTTTGCCAACCTCAGCGGAAAGAGTCGTCCAGACATCCATCGCTCCGCAAGTGTTTACGACACCATGTTGGTAGCGCTGACCCGATCCATCAAAGTGCCCGGACGCATGCTGCTTGCTCTCACACCACATGAGCAGCCGGAGCTGCTGTCGAGGCGACAGTGGCGAATCCTTGCACCGCTGCAGATCTTAAACCCTTTGAACTGAACACCCTAGCCCTAGCGGTACAGATTTTGAAACCTTATTTATTTACCATGCCCTAAGCCCTCAAGGGCATGGTGCTTGTACGAGATCTACATTGCCTGGACGGTCGGCGCAGAGGTCTGCTGTGGCTTCGTGCCCGAAGCGGAGCAATCTGTGAAGAGGAGCCTGTTGCAAGACGATGTGCTGATCAACCAGATGCTGGACTCCGTCGACGCGGAGAAGTCGCGTGCCACCGTGGAAAGTGATAGAGCCATGATTATGGATTTGATCGCAGCAGCAGGCATAAGTAATTTTAACTCTTTCGTCCGGAAGCAGTTACAAGCTTCCTTGCGCATGCTCGCAGTTACCACCTTCCTGAAAATCAGAACTGCAGCTCCCACAAACGTGGAAGCTGCAGAGGTAGTCGACCCGAGCAGTCCCAGCTCAGTAGCCACGCGTAGTCAGTTCCTTCACGCCGATGCGAAGTTCCACTCCGAGGAGGAGGCTCCGGAGGAGCTGCTGGGGGTTCTTTTTTAAGGGATAGTTATGTGAGTATGGAGTTTAAGGGGATCCAAAAAGGCTTCTATAGGATGTTTAATTTTAGGAATATGGAGTTTAAGAGATCTATTAAAAAACATTAGATAAGGGTTCCTATTCTAAGGGATATTTATAGGAATATGTAGTTTGAGGGATCTATAAGGCTTATATAGGGGCTCTTGTTTTAAGGGATATATGGAGGAATATATAGGTTCTGGTTCTTTTTGAAGGGATATGTAATTATAGGAATATGTAGTGCTTAAGGGATCTATAAGGATATTAGATAAGGGTTCCTTTTTCAGGGATGTTTATAGGAATATGGAGTTTACGAGATCTTTAAAGCATATCAGATCAGGGTTCCTATTCTAAGGGATATTTATAGGAATGTGTAGTTTAAGGTATCCCCATAAGGCTCATATGAGGGTTCTTCTAAGGGGGGATATATAGGATATGTAGTTCAAGGGATCTATAAGGCTTATAAGGGCTCCTTTAAGGGTAGAGGTATATTCGTGGTTTAAGGTACCATAATAAGGAAACCATATAATACTTACCCTAGATCCCAAATATATGGTTAACTTAAACCTTATATCCCTGAGGATGCGGATCTCTACGCCCTCGTGGAATCGATCGAGCCCTCATCTTTTCAAGTGAATGTTGCAGACTTGGGCTTTTCCTTTCACTCGGAGGCCTTTTCGGTGTGACCGGGCGCAAAAAGGGTTTGGGAGTTTGGGATGCAGGGTTTCTGAGAGAATCGGAATCTGCTGCCCCATGTCCTGTGCTACCCAGCCTGATTTTTAAAGACTTCTTGCAATCTTCGTCTCTAGGCCCTAAACCCTAAAACCAAATTATGGGTGTAGAATCCCCAATTCGCGCTTAGCCGAAATCTCAAGACCTGGATTCTCACACTTGGAGGTTCACGGGTAGTTATAAGTGGAGTTATAAGTCCTGTAATATGGGTTATGACTATAGTCACTCTACTTATCAGCCCACTTATATCTACCCATGAACCTCCAAGCAGGAGCCCTAAAGCCCTTAAGTCGGGGACCCATGCGGCGCTTAGAGAGCCCCCCTGAAACGAGCTGAGCAGAGCTTTGGGCTTTTGGTGTGCCGGCAGAGAAACGCTTTACCAGCCACCCTGCACCCTAAACCCGTCAAGTTGTGCATCACGTAACAGACCAATATTGCTAGGATCAGGGCTGTCCTGTTCGAAGGAAAGAACGGTCGGGTTGGGGGTACCTTCTTTCAAAGGTCCCTTTTACGGAGCCGGGGTACAAAACCCCGAAGCCTTATAACATCAACCTAGATACTTATGATGTGCCTCAATACATGCAGCCATCTGCGATCTCGGGAAGAGGGGGCCGTAGATCCAACGCTCTGGTGCCATGGGAGCTGGCGCCTCCGCTCACAAGGCGCACCGATGTAAGAAAGGGCGGCGACATTTTTTTGCAACAAATTGTTAGGCGTTGCAGTTTACGGCTTCAGGTTTTTGGAGTCCTTTGCTTGAGGTTTCGATGTATGGCTGAAAGAGGGGTCGAGGGTGGAAGGTTTATGTTTCATTCAGCTTCACGGAAGTCGAGGCTGGAGTGCAGTGTTGGGAGTGATGGTGGAGGATCTAGGGTGAGGGTCGGAAAAATTCGAACCTCGGGACACAGGGAATGTGGCATGATTGCGTATTTCGCAGTGTTGACGCTGCTGCTGCCCTAGTCACTAGTCTCGGGGATGCTAGACTGCTAGACACTGCTTTTGGTATTTCTCTTAAGCTTTGGCAGTGGGTCCTGCTGAAACTGATTCCTCAAGCACAATGTCGAACATCCCGGCGCCCTCGCAGCTAAGCCGGCAGGGGAAGCAACCTACTTAAAGGATCACGGGACTTAGTAATTGGGGTTATAAGTAAGGCAACTACAGTTATAATTACTTATAACCCCAATTAAGGTACTTATAACCCTACTTACTAAGTCCCATGATCCTTTAAGTAGACCCCAAACCCTAAACCCTTATAGTACCCCTATAGATCCCTTAAAGGGACCCTACTAAGTCCCATGATCCTCCAAGTAGTCTTGTTGTCAGCTCGCAACACTTCGCAGGCTCTCTGGGAGAATGCAAGCCAGAATGAACTCAACGACTTTGTGAAGGGCCTCTCCAAGGCCACGGTTTAGGGTTTAGGGTTTAGGGTTTGTGCTATGCTGCAATGCTGTAGTGTAGCCTTGTTGCTTTTCTGAGGACCCGGATGCAATCCCTCCGTTTCAGTAGTACTCATACCCGTGCACCTGCAATTAGAGCACGGGGGTGACCATCTTAAGAGGTCAGAAGTCGATGATGCAGAAGAGGAGTCAGTCGTTAGGCATACTTTCGATCAGAGTCTTACGGTTGATGATATAAGTCCTGCATCAACCATAGTGAGGAATATACCATTCTTCCCATAGTTTAGGGCCCTTATGGTAATGCAGGCTTTCTATCATCAGCAGTAGTGATCCAGCGGCTTTCTTTGCAGGAAGAGGCCGCAAAGCTGGCAGCAGCGCTGCAGGCGCGCGAAGGTGCCGCACCACTTGGCATCCGTGCTGCTGGGCTGTTCTTGAAGCTGAGGTTTAGGGTTCAGGGTTTAGGGTTTAGGGTTTAGTGTTCAGGGTAGAGGGTTTAGGGTTTAGAGCTTCTGCACTTGCAGTTTTCGAGGCTGGGACAGCCTGTTTCCCTCCTGTGCAAGGAGGAATTCAGCAGTTGCAGGGACGGAGCGATATGAATCCGAACCCCCAACCTGTGCGCAGAAGAACCCGAGTGCTGGTCCGAGACCGGAAATGCCCTAAACCCCTATTGTAAGTCTTTTAGTGCCATTACAGTAGCCCTTACAGCACCCTTATCGTAGCCCTTCTAGTGCTTCAAGCAACCTTGATACTGCCTTTACAAGAAACACCAATCTTTGAGGGCTTGTGACTAAGGAGATGTCGGCGCTCCACGCGACCCACAGCTTCAACCCATCCAAGGAAATCCCTCGCCAGGTGAGACTCTTACTTGGGGTTCCTTTTGGTGTTCTGTAACGGTTACGATAACCCATTATAAAGGGCACTATATGGATTGCTAAACTTGAAGGGGTACTGTCAGGGGCACTAAAGGAATTACTAGGTACTGTAAGGGGTCGTCATGTGACCGACGAGAATTTCGAGCAGGGGACGCGGGGCTGCTAAGAAGAGATTGAACAAACGCCGGGGTTACACTCTTTAGGATTTGGCGTGTCCTGTTCAGGGTGGTTTGCCATGTAGGGTTTAGGATTTAGGCCGCAGTTTTAGAATAACAAATCCTAAAACTCAGGCTCTCAAGCGGATGAGGCTCTCGAGCAAGTGATATAAGCCGTCCACTCAAACTTCTGAGACATTTGCCCCTTAGGGACGTTGCGTTTAGGGATTGGTGGGTTAAGGTTTTCGAGTTCAGTTTATGTATTTGGGGTTTCGGTCCGGGATGTCGATTTGAGGTTCAGGCTTCAAAGTTTAGGCCTACACCCTAAACCCTAAACCCTAAAAACTAAATTCTGAACCGCGTATATGGGTTTGGTGGCAATTCGACTTCGTTCACCCAGAGCCTCCAATATCCCTTAATTAAGGAATATACCTTAAATTATAGTAGGATCCCTAATATGATTTCAGGAATATTCCTTGATTAAGAGGCATTCGAGTCTCTGGGCACTTCGTGGTAAGGATTGGTGCTGCCACCAAATCTTTCGGTATATGGGTTTGGCCGGAACAGGCTCGTTGAAGTATACGCGGCGGAGGGCCCTGACCTAAAATCCCCAGTTCGGACAATGCCAAGTTCCAACACAGTTCAAAGCCTTAAACTCCTAACGTGCAGGGTGGTCACGAAGCTACAAGGCTTGCAGGAGGCAAGCTGTCAAACGTTCCGGCAACCCTAAACCCTGAACCCTAAACCCTAAGCCCTAGAGCCTAAACCCCAAACCCCAAGCTCTGAACACGGGAGAAGACACGATCGGCACCGGCCCGCACGCCCGAGGACCAATGCCGAAACCCGGAAGCCTAAACCTCACACCGTTTGGCGTTCAGACGTTGGGGTTGAGGGTTGACTAGGTTTTTGTTAAGGGTTTCATTTAAGTCTCTATACTAAGGATCTAGAGTTCGGAACAGGTAACAGGAGCTTAAACAAGCAAAACTCGCATCTCACGTCGAAGCAATTCCAAGCCACACTTCCTGGTCCCTTCTTCCCGAGGTGGTCAAGGATATCCTGGAAGGCCTTCGCAGCGTGCCCTCTTCCGCCAACACACAGCCCTGGACCATCGTGGTCGTGCAAGGCCATCCGTTAAGTGCGTGTTTAGGGGTTTCAGGTTTACCGGCTTAGGGGTTTGGGAGGGTTGCAGGTTCAAGAGTTTCGGGTTCAGGCCATCTGTCTGGGGTCCTGCAAGCATGAAAGTTCTATGGTAAGTGTACAGAAGCCGTCTGAAAAGTAAGGAGATTCGATTAGGTTTCGGCCGTTTAGATGACCTTAATCGTGCTGTTATGTTCAGCCTTCGCCCCTGAGCCCTAAAAATCTAAACCCTGTAAATCAAGAGCCAGAGAAGCACCCAAACATAAACTTTCGGGTGGGGTATCCCTATCTTACTGGCTTAGTTAAAGACGGGATTCTGGGATATCACATCCTTATGGTTTTTGTTTAGGTCCTTTTCTGGGTCGGAAGTAAACCCAAGCTGGATTCGGGTGTAAGCCCCGGCTTCAAGATGATGTTGGACATCCGGGCTTGTCGGGTGGGAGGTGCAGGATTTCATGTCGATGCGGGTTCAAGATGTACGATGTCGGCCTATTACGTTTTGCATTTTTTTAAAGCTGAAGGATGCTTGAGGACTTGTGCTTGGGATATTGAGGAGACCTTCTGAATATTGGAAGAGATCAGGTGGCACAGGATCAGATTTGAATGTTGTATAGCATTTTGATTCCGTCCCTTCTGTTCAAGTCTCCTATGGTGCCTTGTCTTCCCAATGGTATTCAAGCAAGGGCACGGGTAAATACCACAGTAGGTTTTGAGGCTTCGCAGGACTTTATGTATGACTTCCATAATCTGCAAAGCGTAAATCTTAACTTCTAAATCCTGAAACCTCAAACCCTAAGCCCTAGATCCTAAACCCTAAGCCCTAAACCCTCAACCCTAAACCTCAAACCAACTCTAAACCCTTCTTCTAAGTGCAACCTTGGTCCCCCAGCTTCGGCCAAGCGCAACCACGGGATTTGATTCCATAACTGACGGTTTCGGGTTGCTGGAAGGATTACTCTAGGGGTCGCTATAAGGGGTTGCGATACGGGTGCTGTGGGGTTCGGGGTTTCAGGGTTTAGGTTTAGGCTTCGTGGTTTTAGGGTTTGGGGTTGTAGGGTCTAGGGTTGAGAGTTTCTGAGCCCGAAGCCCAAAACAAACCCCAAGCCTTTAGCTGTACGCCCCGTAGCCCAAAGTGCAGTGCTGGCCCCGAACCTACTTGAAGGGTCATGGGACTTAGTAATTAGGGTTATAAGTAAGGTAGCTACAGTTATAATTGCTTAGAACCCCAATTGAGGTACTTATAACCCTACTTGCTAAGTCCCATGATCCTCCATGTAGAGGTGCTACCCGCAAGCTTCTCTCGGAGAAGATTGTTGCCAAGTTCGATGCCGGTGAGCAGGGGACTGCCCTGTATGCCGACCTTCCCAAGGACAGCAGCTTTTTGGGTTTTGGGGCTTCAACTTTATGGAGATGGAGACTCCAAAACACCTTGATTAAGGAATCTCTCCACGTTCTGGGAAGGATCCTGAAGAAGCAGGAGAAGGGAGTTTTTTGGGGTTTTGAGCTGAATATGTCTGGACTGAGGCCCTAAGCCGTAAACTCGAAACCGTTGATGGTTTTGGCTTTCAAACCTCGGGTGGGTCTGCGGTTTCGTCCAGGTTTGGGGTGCCCGGTTTTGGGGCTTCAGGGGTTGGGTGTAGGGGTTCTTCGGAAGGACAACGGAACATGTCAACGCACTGATGCCCAGGACATGCCCGCGCGCATGCAGAAAGCTGTGGATGCCTACACAAAGGAATACGATGCCTTCCTGGGCGTGGCCCGTCCGCACACTTTAAACCCTAAACCTTAAAGCCTAAACCTTAGCCCCTAAACCTTTGACCGTAAACCCTGAACCCTAAATCCTAAACCCTACACCCCAATCGCCTCAATTGTTGTTTTCCAAGGCCCCCCGAATCCCGGAGCTCCAAATCCAAAATCTCTGACCTATGCCCTTCTGCACTTCTTCTCATGGAGTTTAGATTAGGTTGCCATAATAAGGAAACCATGTTATTTGCTATAGATCCCCATTATGGTAGCTTAAGCTGAAGCTGATTTAGGCTAATTCCTTAGCAAGAGCCAAGGACAAGGCAAAGCTGCGGAAGGGCTGCGAGCTGCTTGGCAGGTAAGTGGGGGGTTTAGGCTGTTGGCCGTGAGTCTCGGATTTTGGTGGATGTTAGAGGGCCCCTTACAGTGTTTCACCAGTGTTCCAGGAGGGTCTTGTATAGGTTGGCAGGGGTGGGTGGTTCCATACGGTTTCTTTAGCATCTGTTCGCAAGGTTCTTGCAGTTCAAGATTTAGTGCTAGCACTTGTTCGAGTGTTGCCACCAAGATACGGGTCTTTTTTCTAATTGCTTCTGTTCTGTGCACGACTGCTGCAGCTGCTGCTGCTGCCTACTACTTGCGATCTGCTACTTGAGACCTTACTGCTTGCTGCCTACGGCTTGCTGCTTACTGCTTATTGCAGACTTTCTATCAGTATTAGCTACTTGTGCAACCTGGTGGTGCTGCTGCTACTACTGCTACTACTCCTACTGCTACCTGATACTGCTACTGCTTTTTGTCCTTTCACTTTGTATCATGCGAGCTCCGGATTCAAGCCCGAAACCGAAGCCGAGCCAAGGTTCTTCGGCGCACCCCTTCATCTCGTGGTCTGTGCACCGAAGGGCCCATGCTTGGAGGAGAGTCCGCCCGTGGATGGTGTGCTGCCAGGTTGATGTTTGAATATGTCGGGGTTTGTTTGCAGCCAGGAGCATGAGGAACGGTTCGTGGTGACACTGATCAGAATGGTTACGGAGGTTACACTGGTGATGGTGGCATTGCATGTGGCCAATGCCAGGACAAGTTCCATGAAGGTTAGTCAGCTTTTGACACTGTTGCAGCATTGACGCCCTCTCAGAGCTACGCCCTCTCAGAGCTAGTAGATCCATACGTATCCTCTTTACAATAAGCTTACTGTTACATCATGTCACATCGCTGCTATTGCTGTTGGTGTTGGTGATCATGGTGAGTTCGAGTAGTGGCTGCTATGAAGAACAGAAGCCGGATTAGGAGAGCAGCAGGAGCAGGAGCAGCAGTAGCAACTCCCACTCCTGTTGCTGTTACTTTCTCTTCTACGTGCTACTGCCGCGAGTGCTCTCACTGCTGCATGAGTGCCCAAAACCTTGACCCAGCACCCAACACCCGAAACCCTAAATCCTAAGGTCCTAAAGCTTAAACCCTACAGAAAGGCTTTCAAAAAAAATGCCTTAAATCCGAAACCCAAAACCCGAAATTCTGAACCCCAAACCCCAGCCCCAGCCGATCCCAATACCCTTTTGGAAGCAGCGTGCGACGTAAAGTCTAACCCCAGGATCTACTGGTCTAGCGGTCTGGGTTCAGGATGTGGGAGTCCCCGAAAATTCTGTGTACCTTATTTTGGGGTCTGTATGACCAGGATCCTACTATTTAGGGCACTATATTTGGGTCCCCTATTTTCGGAAACCCCTATGTCGCTACATTATAGAACCCTACTGTAGATCCCTTATAGACCCCTTCAAAGAGCTCTTCAAAGGAGCTCTCAACCCTTACCCCGTTTGGGTTCAAGGATCTCCCCGAAGACTCCAAAACCCCTTAATTAAGGAATATACCTTGAATTATAGTAGGATCCCTAGTATGATTTAAGGAATATTCCTTCATTAAGGGATATTGGAGTCTCCTAAACCCTAAACCCTACAGATCCCTTATAGGAACCCTTATAGATCCCTTTAAGGAACCCTTTAAGGAAGCCTCCTTTTATTAAGGGATATTGGAGTCTCTGGGTCTCGTAGCAGCAGCCCTTTCTCAGCCCTCCTGGGCCTCTGACATGGGTGGGCTGAGGCTTTTCCAGAGACTCCAAGGAATATACCCTAAGGGTTCCTTACAGGGCTGCTTAAAGGGATCTAGAAGGCTTTACTTTAAGGGAGTTGAGGAATATACCTTCAAGTATAATTAGTAGGATCCCTAGTATGATTTGCGAAATACTCCTTTATTACAGGATACTGGAGTCCCTGGTTAGGTCCCTTAGAACACCCATCTGCTTGCTTCGAACCTTTACGCAAAGCTTAAAGCAGCAAGAAGAATACTCCCAGCGCCCTTCGCACCGATCTTAAGGCATATGTCAGAGATGCACATGGGAGTTTCCGAAAATTGGGGGTATCTTATTTTGGGGTCCTTATAGTAAGGATCCTACTATGTAGGGTACCATATTAGGGTCCCCTATTTTCGGAAACTCCCAAGCCTTTAAGCCCTAAACCCCTAAAGCCCTAAACCCTAAACCTTAACCCTAAACCCTATAGATCCCTTTAAAGGAGCCCATCACATGCCACAGGACTGCAAAGATCCGACATGCGAAGTGCCCCAATCAGTACCCGTCGTCGCAGCGAAAACGCCGAGAGCCTAAACCCTCAAGACTGAAACCCGTAAGCCCGAAACCCTAAACCCTAAATCCCAAACGCTAAATCTTTAACCCCCAAACCCTACACCCTAAACACAAAATTCTAAACCTCTAACCCCCAAACCCTAAACCCTAAACCCTAAGCCCTAAACCCTCTTTTAAAATTCCGAGTCGAAGCAACCTAAGTTTGAACCTTCAGGTTCCTCGACATGGGGTCGGCCATGACTGCAATGTCCTTCTCTGCGTTCGATCTGGGTCTCGGCGTCCACCCGCATCTTGGCTTGCATGTCTTCCGGTGTAAGGTTTAGGATTCAGGGTTCAGGGTCGAGGGTTTGCTGTTGTCGAAACTTTTTCTGGAAGGGTTTGTTCGATGAAGTTTCGATTTTCATGACCCGTGCTCCGGTTCTGGAAGACTGCGACTAGGGCTTGGACAGTGATGCTTCTGTCGATGGTATAAATCCTGCATTACCCATGATAAGGAATATACCAAAATTCCCATAGTTTAGGGTCCTTAAGGTCATGCAGGATTTATATCATCAACCGTTACAGCATGCCTTCGTAGCTGGTGCCTGCCATGGTGGCCATGATCTCTGTGAACGCGGCGATGACCGGAAGGGCGGTGAATAACATTGCCGGTGATGCTAGAGATGAGAGTGTGCTTGTTGCTATAAATCAAAGCGATCTGCGTCAGAATGGTGTTCTCATTGCCATCATTTAAACATGGTGTGGGGCGTAAGACTGGCAGAAGAAACGTGGGGTTAACGGGTTTAATATAGGGTTGTGTAGGTCTCCTACGGGGGGATTATGTCTTCATTAATGTTGAACTGGTGGCGATGGAACATAACGGCCATACCGCACATTCCAGACCCCAAACCCTGAACCGTTTGGACGCCGGCTGCTGGCTGCGCCGATCTCTCGAGGCCGGTAAAGTTTTTCTGACACGGAGGCAAAACCCTGTACTTCTACTAAGCCGTAGCCACTTGCCAGGCCGATCTTTGGAATTCCCTTTGTTCCAACGTGTACTCCGACCCGTTTCCGAAGCCGATGGACCCAAACACTATACACCTTAAACTCTGAAACCCTAAATTGAAGATTCCTAAAGCATATAGACCCCAAATGCCAAATCCCAGGCAGTTCTCCCTCGCGAAATATCACGACATCTACAAGGAGGTCCTGAAGGAGCTCCCATCGCCAAGAGCTCCTTGGGGCTTGGGATTTGGGGACGAAAGGCTTCTTGCTATAAGGCGTGTTTAGGGTTGAGGGAATATTACAGTTATTAAACGGGGCATTACGGTTTCGTGCTTAGGGTTTTAGTGCTGGTCCAGCAGACAAGCCCCGCGAACCTGAGCCCCGGGTGGTTTAAGGCTTACCTTGGAGGTTCATGGGTAGTTGTTATAGGTGGCAGTATATGTCCCTTACTATGGGTTATAACATGTTGTAACCATAGTTGCCGAAATTAAAATGAAAAGCCAACTTATATGGGTGGTTGTCAAAGTTATGGTCCCTTTTTGGATACCCTAAATATTAGGTGCCGTACTATAATGGGGACCCCAAAAGGGACCCTAATTTTGACAACCACCCATCTAACTACCCATGAACCTCCAAGTAGGGACCGAGAGCCTCTGGGGTTTAGAACTTCGTGGTTCTCGTGCGGCTTTGGGGGCTCAAGGCTCAAGGACGTAGGTCCATGGACCGCAAGAAGCCCTGAAGCCTGGCTTTCGAACTCCCCGCCTTTCGCATCGTGCTTAATCTATGTGGGTGGTTGTCAAAATTCTTGGGCCCTTAGTATAATACGGCACCTAGTATTTAGGCTGCCCAAAAAGGGACCAGAATTTTGACAACCACCCATATGTATATACATGCAAGGTAACAGTTTAAGGACACATAGATACATGGGGAGACATGAGCATCCAGATACACTGACATAGAGGAGTTTGGATATTGGCAGAGGGGCGAGCTGGGGGTTGGTTTGCTTGCAAGCACGACTTAGGCCAACGTTTGTGGGTTGATGGGTTTTAGGGTTGGAGATTTCCCCAGAGACTCCAATGTCCCTTAACTGAGGAATGCACCGTTAATTATAGTAGGATCCGGAATATTCCTCAATTAAGGGATGCTGGAGTCTCTGGGTTTGAGGGTCTTGTAGAACCCAGCCTTTACGCGCAGGAGAAGATGCCAGATGACCATTTTGTCATCTGTGGCCTCAGTGTTGGGTACCTGGAGAATGACCAGGTGCCTCCACAAGATTGCTGAACGGGTGGCCTCGTGCTGTCGAGCAGTGGGGGGGTTTCAGAGGGGGGCATCGGTGAAGTTCGAAGCAAATGCTCAACCCTAAACCCCAAACTCTAGGCCCTAAACTCCTACACCCTAAACCTGAAAGATACGGACCAGACACGCCCGGCTCGTTGCTGCCCTTCGGGCTAGTCTCAGTCCCCCAACCCAAGAGAGACCGAGGCTTTAGCGTTCAGGGTATAGGGGCCGGGCAATGAACTTAGGTCATGCAGTAATATACATGTCTGTATAATGAGTACTAGTATTCCCGTACCGTCTCTTACTGTTATGCTACAAGATCTCCCGAAAGCCTACTCTAGTTATTTGGGCCCTTTGTTGTTTGTGCAGACTTGTTCAACCTCCTTCTGCGGGGACGCCGCAATGTATCCCGAGTATCCAGCTTGCAACAGGGGCAATGGCCCACCTCAGGGCTGCAAGCAAACATGTATAGACTCAGCACAGTTTAAGGCTTAGGGTTTAGGTTATCTACAGGCATTTTGTCGCAAAGGTGGCCAGATGACCCACGCACGGAACCCGTAAATCCAAGGCTTTAAAATCCCCACTTCAAAACCCTAGGCTCTACAATTTAAGCCTTTAAGCCCCAGGCCCTTTGCATTAAGCCCCAGCCCTAAATCCAAAAACCCTCAACCCTAAACCTCAACCCTAAACTCTAAACCCTCAACCCTAAACCCTCAGCCCTAAACTCTAAACTCTAAACCCGCAACCCCAAACCCTCAAACCCCCTCAGCCGAACTCAGGATCCACGGAATACGCCGGGATTTGTGCCTTCGAAGTTGAGCGTGGACGACACCACGAGGCAGAGTGGGAGTGGGGGTTGGTTTCCTCTTCACCCAAACAATGATAGTATGAGGAATCGTACAAGATTCCTATAGTATTATTTACAGATCTACGAGTATTTCTATAATTTTGTTTTGGTGTTGGTTGCCTTTTCCTCGTTATTAGCGTTTTTATTGGGGCTTTCGGCGTCTCTAGGGGTGACGGACTTACGGGCCTCAGAACAAAAAGACCTTTATCCGGAACTCTTAGCCCAGAGACTCTAATATCCCTTAATTACGGAATCTTCCTTAAATCATAGTAGGGATTTTATTATAGTTGAAGGTCTATTCCTTAATTCCCGTATAGAACCCGTAACCCCTACAGATCCCTTTAAGGAACCCATTGATGAGGGGACATTGACCGGGAAGCTAGGACTCGCCAGGTGGGTAAACTGCGACGCCGAGTGGCTCAAGACCCACGGAGGCGGCAAAAAGCGCTTTGGAGGGGTTCCAGGGTTCCAGGGTTTAGGGCTCAGGGGTTTCGGGGTTCCAGGGCTCAGGGGTTTCGGGGTTCCAGGGTTCAGGGGTTTAGGGGTTTAGGGGTTTAGGGTTTTTTTGGGGTTCAGGGTTTTAGGGCTCAGGGGTTTCGGGGTTCCAGGGTTCAGGGGTTTAGGGGTTTAGGGGTTTAGGGTTTTTTTGGGGTTCAGGGTTTTAGGGCTCAGGGGTTTCGGGGTTCCACGGTTCAGGGGTTTAGGGGTTTAGGGGTTTAGGGTTTTTTTGGGGTTCAGGGTTTTAGGGCTCAGGGGTTTCGGGGTTTAGGGTTTAGGGGTTTACGGTGTAGGGCTCAGGGTTCGGGGTTCGGGGTTCAGGGTGTTTAGGGTTCAGGGTCCAGAGCTTGATGTTCAGGGTTGAGGGTGTTGAGGGTTCAGGGTTTAGGGCTTAGGGTTGAGGGTTTGGGGTTCAGGGTTCATTGTTCAGGTTTCAGTGTGGCTCAGGGCCTATGCACTATGGTCTGGAGCATTGATTCATAATTCTCGTTGGCACTGTGCGAGCTTATGTGCAGCAGAGCACCCTGTAAAACCCAACATCCCAAGTTCTGAACCAACGACGTGAAGATCCCCCCCAAACCCCCAATTCTTTTACACTCCAGCCAAGAGTCGTTAGATCGATCCTGGGGGTAGAGACGACCCTCTGAGCCACGAGACATGGAAGCACTCCGACATGCTTGAGTGTAGGGTTAGAAGTATGGGCCCTTAGCCCTTTCAAGGGACCCTAAGGGGTACACAAGGGACCTTAAAGGGTACACAAGGGACCCTAAAGGGTACACAAGGGACCTTCAAGGGTACATATAGGGTATATATATATATAATCATAAGGTATTTAAGGATCCCAGGGTTCAGGGCCCATGCTAGGGGCCCATGTTTTCATCAGCCTGAGCCTTGAGGCATAGACTGGTAGAATCTAAAGACCGAAACCTTGACACCCTAAACCCTGAACCTTAAAACCCCTAGCAGAGCCCTTAACCCCGAAACCCCAAAACCTGAACTTGCCCAACCCTTCAAGCCGATAGTCCCGATCCCATGGCTTGAAAAACGCGAAGCGGTATAGGCTGAACTTTAAGCTCCAACCCACACAACCCCCAATCAAGAACCCTACCTGAACCCCACAAATTGACATGTATAGGGTTCCTTGTTATGATGACTGATGCCTAAAGCCCGAAATCCGGAACCCAACCCTGGCAATTTAGAGTCTAGAGTCTTAGGGTTAAGGGTTTAAGTTTTGAGGTTTAGGCCGCATTAGCGCAGCACCCAGCCAGAGGCACCAAACCCTAAACCCTTTGTTCACCCAAGCCCGAAACCCCAAACCCGTGACACCCTAGAGCTTCAAAGCCCAAAGTTAAGCCCTAGGGCGAAAATTGCTAAAGTATTCCTTAAGGTTCCTCTCGATGGCCCCCCCGAAGCCCAACTGAACCATGAAAGCCTCTGTGTTCATAACTCTTCAAGCCCTCAAATTCGGAGCACCTCCCCTAAACCTCAACAGCCCCAGAGCTTTGTGAGCCTAAAACCCCAGTGCACCAAACCGCCCAAGAAGGCTGAGCCCTCTAAACCCGAGGCGCCAAAACGGGCAGGCCCTAAACCTTCACCCTAAACCAATGTCTATATCACTACTCCTTCAAACTCTGAGCTCAAAGCCCCAAATCTCAGCGGTTTAGAGTTTAGGGTTTAGGGCTTTCAGGGCTCCCAAATCTCAAGGGTTCTGCAGAGAAGACAATCGAAATGCCAAGCTCTTCACGCACTTTGACTTCGGAGCCCCGAACCCTAAAGCTCTTCAGCTTTTCCTTCCCTGCTGCACAGACGTGGTGACTGGCAACAGCGAGCACGGCTTGAAGCACTTAGCCACTGGGATCCGCTACAGGTTGGGTTTTCTGGGGCTCTTATGAGGCATTACTTGCCTTGGTAGTGTTTTATGTAGGCTTTGGTGGGTCCTTTGCTTGTGAGTTTAGCTTTTGCGAGCATAGGATCAAGAAGCATCCTTCTTACTTCTTTCAAAATGGATGCAATAGGCGAATACTTGGAGGATCATGGGGCGTAGTAAATAGGGTTATAAGTACTTTGATTGGGGTTATGAGTAAGTATAAGTGTAGCTACCTCATTTAGAACCCCAATTACTAAGTCCCATGATCCTTTAAGTAAACCCTAAGCCCCTAAGCCCCTAAACCCCTAAACCCTTACTTCCTTCAAACCTGATGCAGTGGGCGAATGGGGATCCTCATCTTTCAGACCTTTGAAGGAATGGGGGATTCCGAAACTAGGGCACTCTAGTATAGTACCCTAAATACTAAATACTAGGATCCTTATTATAAGGACCCCGAAACAAGGTACCCCTAATTTTCGGAAACTCGCAAATGGCATTTACGGCATCGATCAGCTGTCCGGGCTGCGACATGTTTGGAGTTCAGGGTGACGGGAGTTGGGATTTGGGAGTTTCCGAAAATTCGGGGTGCCTTCTTTTTGGGGTCCTTATAATAAGGCCTACTACTTAGAGGGCTCTTTTCGGGTCCCCTTTTTTTCGGAAACTCCCTTAAACCCTAAACCCTTTATAGAATTATAGAGCCCTTATAGATCCCTTTGAGGAACCCTTTAAAGGATTTTTCGGAAACTACCATTTGGAAGGTTGGGGTTCAGGATTTTGGGTCTGGGTCGCGTGGTTTCCGGCTTGAGGTTTGGTGCCAGGCTTAGGGTATAAGGGTTGCTATAAGGTTACTATAAGGGTACTAGGATTTAGGGGCCTTAATAATTACTTGTGCTGTTTTGTGGGTTTAGCAGATGGGTTTAGGGATAGGGTTTTGTAGCCAAGGTCACCGATTGGGGGTTGGGTGTCTTGTTGCGTTCGAACATTCTGCGGGCTACAGATGGCATAGAGCTGGATTCTGGAAACATAGATGACGTGTGTTTCTGAGATGTTTTGGGGTTCCAAGGTGGTGCAGGGTTTACAGTTTCGGACCCAGACTCCAATATTACTAAGGAGTATATTATAGTAGGATCCCTAATATGATTTAAGGAATATACCTCAATTAAGGGATATTGGAGTTTCTGGGAAGTCTTAGGCTACGGTTCGTTGTTTGTTTTACTTTCGAAGTTCCAGATTCGGACTGGCCTGCTGCCTTTGAGAGTGCTTCTTACAGAGTGGGTGCGTGCTGAGGTGTACGTACAAGTTCCTTCAACCGTACCCTCAACCGTACCCTGAGCCCTAAATTCTACGACTTAAATCGCAAACTCTACATTCTAAACCCTAAGCCCCAAAACCCTAAACCTAGGTAGGGCTTTGGGACATCTTACCCACTAATATTTCTCAAAGGCTGTAAAAGCACCTGCTAGTAAACCCTAAAACTCTTGCTTCGGAGATTTTTTTGGTAGAGCTTCTTTTAAACAGCACTTCGATTTATCGCATGTCCAAGCTCCACTTAAAGCCTTCAAAGCTTTTCGATTCGGGGTTTTGGGGTATGTTTGCGCGCTTAGGGTTTGGGGTTTAGGGTTTCATTGGCTTGTTTAGGGATCGAGTTTGTGGGGTGGCCGGCAGGGTTAGGCCTACCCCAGTCCCGTCACATCCAAGCCGTGATCGAGAAAAGGTGCATTCCCGGCACTGCTCCCACACTTTGGATACACCCCGGCCAGTTCCTTACGACTTCCTTGCCTCCATTCTGCGGCTTGGCAGATCCGGAGGGCTACGGCTAAGGGCAGGAAACCACTCCAAGTCGTAGACCCGACACCCCTAAATGCCAAACATGAATCATGCCTCTCAGTCATGCTGGTACGACGAGTGATGCGAGGAGGAGGAGGAGGATGGAGGAGGAGGAGGAGGAGCAGGACCACGACGACAACAGCAAGTACCACTACGGGTGGTGGCAGTGGTGGTGGTAGCGGTGGTGGTGGTGGTGCTGGTGCTGGTGCTGGTGGTGCTGGTCGTAGTGGTAGCAGCAGTAGTAGTAGTAGTGGTGGTGGTGGTGGTGGTGGTAGCCGTAGTACTACCATTCCTACTCCTCCTGCTTCCTGCGGCTGCTGCTAGAATTACTGTTACCTTACTTTCCTTCTTGTTGCTTGTGTCTGTGCCGGTGATACGGTTGATGATATAAACCCTGCATCACCTTAAGTAATGCAGGATTTATATCATCAACCGTATTGGTGTTGTTGTGTAATTTACCACGAAGACTCCCCCAGGTCGGCAGCCCGCTATGTGACTTCGGCGTCGAATTCGCAGCCCTGGTCCGTGACTGTGATCCAAGGCTAGAGCTCTTAAGAGCCCGCGTGAGAGTCTTTATAAAAGTCCCCATGTAAGCTTAGTGGACTCTTAGTAGTATGCAATCCCAAAGCTAAAGCTGATATGAAGGAGGTTTGTATAGTTAGTAGTCATCTCCTCAAATTCTGCCCTCGAAAAACTTACCTTAACCGACCAAACCCGACTTTTTTTTTGCAGGGTCCCTGTAAATCCCACATTAGGGCCTTTAATAAGAACCAGGGTAAGGTAGTCTATGAAGATTACAGAGTTTTAAAACGTCCCTATAGTAGAGGATGAGGATCCTCTGCGGAAGCCTGAGCCTGACGCCTGAAACCATGGGGTCAGGAAAATGGTCTGTATAAGGCGCAGGGCCCACCTGCAAACCCAACGTGCATAGCCTTCTTAGCTCAGAAACCTAGGAATTGCGGCAGTTTGCGGTGATGGCACGGTCATGTAGGGCTCATGAAATCCACAGCATCCGCCTCTGCTTGCAGCGCTCGGCCCCTCGGAGGTGCTGCGAGAGACAAGCTTTCGAAAGCCATGCTCGACCATTTCGATGCCGGCAATGATGGAGGCAGGCGGTTCAGGGTCTCAGGCCAGGGTTTAGGCCAGGCCGTAAACCCTAAACCCCAAACCATGAAGTCTAAACCCGAAAGCCTAAGTCCCAAAGCCTCAACCCAAAAACTTGAATCCTAAAGCCTGAAGCCCTAAAGACTTCAACCCTACAGCCTAAGCCCAAAAACCCGATATCCGTAAGCCTTCCAGTTGCCGCACTAAGAGTTTGGGGTTTGCGGAAGTCTCGACGCAGTAGGTAGGGGGCCCGTGATATTGGAGTTTCCGAAAATAAGGGACCGTAATATGGCACCCTAAACAGTAGGATCCTTAGTATAAAGACCCCAAAATAATGTACCGTACCCCGAAATTCCGGAAGCTCCCATATCGGGGCTTGAAGAATCACGCAGAGACCCTGGAGGACAGACCTACAAGAAGTACAGCACGCAGAACACCTCGCGCATGCAGAAGGGCAAGGCCGTTCGTTGTGCACAGTTGCCCTAAACCCTAAGCCCTAAACCCTAAAACCTAAGCCCCAAACCCTAAACCCTAAGCCCTAAACCTTAAACCCTTGAAAGGGCTTAGGAGCAAACCATGAGCCCTAAACCCTCCAACCGTGTCATTATGCTCAGTTTCCGACAGGGTTTGGGGCGTTCAGGGCTTCGGGATCTCGGTCTTCGGAGTTCAGGGTTTAGGGGTTTAGGGTTTAGGGTTTAGGAGGGCTTTTTAAAGTTTGTAATCGGGTTCTGCGGCACTGCGGGTTTGGGGTTCTGGGGTTTTCTTCGTGAGTTGCGCTTCGAGCGGGTGTTGGAGGGGTGCTTGAGAGATGAGTTGCTTGTTTTGAGCTGGGTTCTCAGGGCTTCGATATGTTTCGTTTGGAGTTTTAGGTTCTTCACAGCCGTTGTAATTATGTTCTTGCAGGCATCGCTATTTCACTTCTTTTGGGTCTTGTGGATACTTTTCTCATGAGCACCGCTCTTTTCGTTGCATAGCCTGCTAGCAGAAGTTAAACCGCGTCGCTACTCTGACGTTTCACATGCTTTACGTGTCCCGAAGCTGTTAGCACTGGGTCCCCGCTACACCTGTGCACCTAACCGTAAACGTGAGGAAATCAGGTGTATGTGTGTGTGTCTGTGTCTTGCACAGAGTGCTTGTGATTTTTTTAGCAGAAGAGGGTGCAGAGATGCAAAGGCAGCTATTGCTGAGGGGGTGGGGGGTCTTCGGGTGTCCCTAAACCCTGAACCCCGAAACCCTAGAGCCTAGACCCCTACCCAGAGACTCCAATATCCCTTAATTAAGAATATTCCTTAAATCATATTGGGGATCCTACTATAATTTAAGGTATATTCCTTAATTAAGGGATATTGGAGTCTCTGGGTAATCGTTTCAAAACGAGGCCCCAACCACAGGCTCCTCCTGGTATTGGAATTTCTCGCTGGTTTTGCAGTTGGAAAAGAGCCCTAATCGTAAATCCCCTATTTCCTAAACCCTATGTGCCAAGCCCTAAATCCTAGACACTAAAGTCGAAGCCCCCTAGAGTTTCGGGGCTGGCGGCGACGCAAGCAGAGGACCAGTATGGCTACGAGCTCTACGAGGAGCGGCACAAGCTGGAGCGCGATGACAAGGACGGTGTAGGCTTGAGGGCTGTCGGGTTTGCTTGCAGGATCACGGAACTTAGCAAGTAAGGTCAAAAGTTATACTTATGTGTTATAAGTACTTGGTTTTGGGGTGATTAGTAGTGATCTGCATAGGTGCTTGTTTAAATCTAGTGACTCGGTTCCGGACCCTTTGAGTGGAGTTTCGGGCCTTGGGGGTTGGGGCTCGGGCTCCAGAGCACTGGAGTTCGACCGAAACCCTTGAAAGCTCACTATGTAGGCTTCCTTGAAATGGTTTCCTGACAAGTATGTCCTCAAAGAGGCAGACTTTTAAGGGTTGAGGAAACCCTAAACCCTAAACCCTAAACCCTAAACCCAAAACCCTAAACCCAAAACCCTAAGGTGGGGCTTCCGAGTTCAGGCTTTAAGACCTGGGCCGAAGGCTCGCAAAAGCGCGGAGATTCGTTGTTTTGGGTTTTGGGCTTGCCTTCCTGGAGGATCATGGGACTTAGTGGGGTCGCTTTAAGGGATCTATAGGGGTACTATAAGGGTTTAGGGTTTAGGGTCTACTTAAAGGATCATGGGACTTAGTAAGTAGGGTTATAAGTCCATTAACTGTGGTTATAAGTAGTTAGAACTGTAGTTACCTGACTTACAACCCTACTTACTAAGTCCCATGATCCTTTAAGTTTGGGTTCAGGGTTCAGGCTCTCAGGGTCGAGGGTTTGTTTAGGGTTTTGGCGGTCTGGAGAATTTTACCCTAAACCTTAAACCCCCAAAACTTTACAAACCATAGACCCGGGACCCTAAAGCCCCAAACCCTAAGGCTCTACAGCCTAAAGCTGTAAGACGAAGGACGGCCGACGGAAGAAGTACCGCCCGAACTACGAGTTTTGGGGAGCTCCCGTCTTGCTCCTCGGTGCGTCTGATGAGAATTTGGGATCTTGAGTTTAAGGTTTTGGTTTTAGGGTTGGAGGTCTCGGATTTAGGGCTTGGCGTTCAGGGTTTAGGGTTTGTGTTAGCCATTAGTTGAGGCTTACAACCGTGAAGCTAATCTTTTATTCGGCTTCGGGGTTTAGGGTCAAAGCTTGAAGGCTTAAGGGTTACTGAACAGTGATACTGCTCTGAAACCCAATATAGCCCCTTGAAGCTTTAATGAAACCGTTGCGAAGACCTGCCTAGGTTCCGGGCTTCAGTGTTTGAGGCGTTGCGGTCCACATTTTGGCTAGTAGTTTCTATCTGCCATTATAAAAGTGCCCAGAAAGGCGAACCATGAGTTTCTTTGCTGAAGGCTGCGATCTGGTTCCATGAGGGTTACTATGTGAGCGCGAGAGTCTTGGTGTCTAGCTCGCTTGTAGTGTAACTGTAGCAACCCCTATCCAGAGGAAACTCGAGATCTTGCCAGATGCTCTGCGATTGGAAGTCATCATAGGTCTTTGGGTTCTGGATGCATCGTCCCTGCATATTTTTATTTTGACAGAGCCCCAAACGCTTTTCTCTGATATCCTCCCCGGAAACCAAAACCAATCCCTTCAACCCAAAACCCTCAACCCTACACCCTGAACCCTAAACCCTGTAGATCCCTCCAAAGGAACCCTTATTGATCCCTTTAAAGAACCCAATTCCAATATTCAGGAGCTCCGGATCCAAACTCCCGAAGCCCACAACCCCCCCAAGAATCCCAAAAAGCACCCTAAACCTGAAGCAATAAACCCTGAACCCTAAACCAAAACCTTGAACCCTGCCCAAACCCCTGAACCCCTAAGCCCTGAACCAAGCCCCTAAACCCTCAACCCTAAACCAAAACCTTAAACTAGGAACCTCGAAGCCTCAATGCTTTGCCCTAAACCTCCGAACCCTCCCGTAAGTTGGCTGTCCCTCCTGGCCTTCTGGCCTTCTAGGATGCTGCGACGAGCTGCCCCCTGGGAAAGGAGCTTAAAAAGAACAAAAACCTCTGAACCCTAAACTCTGAACAAACCCTGGACCCTAAACCCTGAATCCTAAACCCCATACCCCTGCACCCTAATCCCAGAGACTCCAACATCCCTTAATTAAGGAATATACCTCAAATTATAGGAGGATCCCTACTATGACTTAGGGAATATTCCTCAGTTAAGGGATATTATATTGGGGTCTCTGGGATCCCATGCAGGTTGCTTCTGAAAGCTCCAAAGGCTGCCGCAGCAGGAGCGGCTTTCAGCGGGGAGGGTTTGAGGGTTTTTTGGTGGTTTTGGGGGTTTTGGGGGTTCTCGGGTTTTAGGGGTTTAGTGGTTTAGGGGCTTGAAGGTTTAGCGGTTTAGCGGTTTAGCGGTTTAGGGGTTTAGGGGTTTAGGGGTTTAGGGTTAATTAAGGGTTATGATTGAGCTCAGCCCGAAAGCTCGACTAACGTAGGAGCCTTAGTCGTTAAACTGGGGCTACGGGGGGTCGCTTAAAGTAGCTTGTCAATCTCACAGCATTTTTTAGAACGCCAGCGAAGCTGAAGCCCTAGACCTGAGCCTGAACCTTAAGCTGCGGAAGCTTTAGATGCCGAGTGTTCCTGCTCTCCGAATTGAAGGTCGAACGGTTGCGGGACCCCCGAAAACCCAAAACCCGACGCTAAACCCTAAACCCTAAAGCCTAAGCCCTTTGCTGAGAGCTCGTCTGGTTTGTTGGTTGGGGATTAGGTACGGCCCCCTTACAGTAAGAGTCTATAATAGGGCTACTACTATGAAGGTCCTAATATAACTGTATTATGAATATCATTCAACTATTACTGAGTGGGGGCCGTACCTAAGTTGGGGATCGGGGGTTCGTTTCTCGGTTTAGGCTTTAGGTCATAAGTACCTTAATTGGGGTTATAAGTAATTATAAGTATAGTTACCCTAACAATAACCTTAGTTACTAAGTCCCATGATCGGTTTTAGGCGTGCGCCTCTCTCGTTTTGTTGATCTCTGCCTGTGGGGGCCTTGTGTTCAGCGCCTCAGGGACTGTAAGTCAAGAATCTCCTTAGGATTTTTTTTATTTATTTTTGTTCATATAAACCCCCAAGAGAATATTTAAACTTTTTTTCTGGAATTGTTTTTACATTTTTGTTCATATAAAACCCAAGAGAATATTTAAACTTTTTTTTATTCTGGAATTGTTTTCTTTGTTTTTGTTCATGTAAAACCCAAGAGAATATTTAACCTAGTATTCTTTATTATGGTTCTAAGGGGGGGTATAGAAGTCAAGAGTCGTAGCTGTGGAGTTCGGAAAGACAGAGTGCAGCAGGGTTCGTTTAAGACCACGGCAAGGTTCCGGTTGACTACTTAAAGGATCACGAGACTTAGTAATTGGGCTTATAAGTACGGTAACTACAATTGTAAGCGCTTATAACCCCAATTGTTAAGGTATTATAACCCTACTTACTAAGTCCCATGATCCTTTAAGTAACCATGACATGAGCTGCTCGTCCGCGCTGGAGGAACTTTTGTGGATATTGGATCCTACATGTGCCTCGGACAGGCACTTCGATTCATCCGAACCAGGTGGAGACGACAGCTCCCATCATAAGATATTGGCCTTGATAACTAGAAGAGGGCTTTGGAGTACCTTATAGTACAGTTAAAATCAGGAGCCCCAAGGAATAGTATTCATAATTCTTCAAGCGTCTATAGTAGGCTTCCTGCAGCGCTAAATCCGAAACGGCTTTATCTTCTCGCCTAGCTAAAGGCCCAGTTCATGACCGGTTTTATACTGAGCCGACCCATCACCCCGGGCACTCTAACGAATGCGGGGTTTGGGGTTTAGAGTTTAGGGTCCCAGAGACTCCAATATCCCTTAATGAAGATATATACTTTAAATTATAGTAGGATTCCCTAATATGATTTTAGGAATATTCCTTCTTGAAGGGATACTGGAGTCTCTGGGGTTTAGCGAGATCCCGAACATCCAGAACCCTCGTCCCCAACGAAGTTGTCCTACGCGGCATTCTGGAGAAGCCTCGCAGACGTGAGACTTCTCAGCTGGCAGCTGGCTAAGTCGGCAAAGCTACTGCTAGTTCTTGAGACTTCAGCCCTAAACCCTGAACCTTGTTGGTGTTTAAAACCCTAAATATGCTCTAAACATGTCCGAACTCTAAACCCAAAAAGGCCCGAAGAAGCGGCGGCCTCTGCTTGGAATTTCAGGTATGCGATCCTCGTGGGCATGCAAGCTTACGGTTTGGGTGGTAAGCCACTGGGCTCCGTGGCGAAGTACACGGACATCTGCAGGCTCGGGGTTTCAAGCTTCCGGATCTGCGGTTTCTGGCCCAGGAGTGTGCAGGCTGAGGGGTTGGGGGAGCAGAGGCTTCGGAACGTAAGCTTGGGTCTTTATCAGGGTTCTTTGTATGAATCCTACTATTTTGGGGTTCTAGGCCCAGGGTTTCTTAGTCAGGTTCCTACATGAAGCCCTAAACCAGAAATCCTGATTCCGTGAGACGGACGTTCAGGAGACTTTCCCGCACAGAAGCCGCAGTGTGCTGGAAGCAGGAGTTTCGATGTTCCGGTTTCATGCCTGTAAGAGTCTGTTTCGGAACATAATTTAAGTTGCCATAACAGGGTTCCATGGTAAATAACGTTGTTTCCTTAGCACAGTACGTGAACAAGAACCCACCCCTACACCCTCTAAACTTCTTCTTCTTCGTTGCATAGAAGGTTCTAGTCCTGTGCAAGAGACGAGACGGACCGAAAAGCGGCGAGGCCGCGGTCCTGGAAAAGCGGGAACTTACAGCCCTACATGCAAAGCGAAAAGACGGCGGAGCGAGACCTACGCCTCAGGCGTAAGGGCTCGGACCGCAAAACTACAAGGGAAGCTGATGCGGCATCGCCAAGCGACGGGGAGAGGCCAAAGAGAGCCAGCCCGAAGCAAGAGAGGAAAGAGCCCGCGGGGCGACCGCAGGGAGGCTAACGACAGTGCCAAAACCAAGCACGGCGACAGCCGATGTACCCACCGCGTGAGGTACGACACGGCGCAGAAGTTCCCAGAAGGCGCCAGGCAGGGGAACAGCGCACCACAGAGCAGCCCCAGCCTTAAGCTGACGAAGCAAGTGGAGACAGGTGAGCAGTCGCCGCAGGAAAAGGATCCGCTGTGCCGCGATCTGCTCAAAGCATGTCAAGCATCCGAGTGCGGCGCTTGGAGAGGGGCGTTCCTCCTGACGCAGAAAGGCAGACAGTCTCCAAGTCTCAGCTGCCCACGGATGTAGCGACTCCAGGGCAAGAAAGAGTTTCCAGCACCGCCCCCACGATGGCGGGAGACACCAGATGGCTGGAGGCACCGCACACCACCGGCAAGAGGGGACGCAGAACGACGAGGCGCCAGGGGCCTCGTCGAAACAATAGACAATGCAGAACCCTTCCGTTGGATGCGTCTGGTACCAAGCAGAGGCAGCCGCGGTGTCAACAGAAGGGAGCCGAACCGAGGTGGTGGGTGAACCAAAGTCAAAAGCTCCTGTGGGGGAAGCAACAGGAGCCAGTGGTGAGCGCAAGACCTCAGGGCACGAGATCGTACTAGCCTCTTCACCAGGGGGGAGAGTAGAGTAACCACCTGCACGGCGAAAGGGCACAACAGGAGAGGAGCGAGTGCCCTCAGAGAAGCCCGGACCAGGGGCGATAGTGCGTAACTCAGCAGCGAGCTCCTCCTCCGTACAGCAACGCCCCTCCTCGGCGGCACGTCGCTGTGCCGCGGTAGCATTACACGGGCCTGCAACGCGGAAAACCGGGGCCCTGGCATGGCCCTGTTTGCCGCGGCGTTTGGTGCCTGTACCATACTCATATACAGGGCCAACACAGCACCGAAGTCCGTGCTCGCAGCTCGGTGAGTGCAAAAGATGGTACCGGAGACGTGCAGCATTATGGAATTCGACCATACACCACAGACAGGTCGTCCCCAACGTGTACTGGGTGCACAGAGCAACGCGCCCATGAAGTCGATGGGCATGCGCCGCTAAGGCATGGGCCGAAGGGAGAGTCGCACCACACTCCGGGCATATGTGAGGGGACGCGAGACCAATCACCCGCTTGGCTGGCGGACCGCCATGACTTCTCCATGCCCGATGGAGAGCCAACAGCATAGTGCCGGACCGACTGATCCGGCGACAGGCCGAGAGGATCTCTTTGGTATGCCGGCGCACACAGAGAAGGGTAGGCTCGCCTGTCTGGAGTGCCGGTAGGCCACAGGCCGGCCAAACACGCCGCACCGCGTCAGCAAGGAGGGAAGACCATTCCCCGCCGCGATCCCAGCTGGCCTGGAACAATTCAAAGACCTCAGGGGAACGGCCCGAGGCAATGCGGCAGAGCAGGCGCACACGAGCGATAACCGTAGCACATTCAACATCAAGAACCCCCGTACAAGCTCGCAGTTGGACTGAGGCCACATGGTGCCCAGCATCCCAAGACCCAACGAGCTGGCGAAGGCATTTGTCGTAGAAACCATTCAGGGGTCCCCAAGCTCGGTCAGAACGAGCTAAAGTCGTGGCAAGAGAGGAGTACGCGGCAGGGAGAGTCCTTCCCTGCAGCCATACGGACTTGAGCATCCACGGCAACTTCTCAGAATGGACAAGTCCAGAGGCTTGAGTCCAGATAGAGTTGCCACGCGCGGCGGCGGCCTCGACATCCCGTCGACCAGTGTCACGACAGCGCTGCACAACCCCAAGGTACTTATATTCAGGGACTACCCTAATGCCTCTACCATCACTGAGGGCAAGAAGGGGCTCAGGGGTTAAGAGATCCTTGCGGGCAACATTAGCCCCTGCTCCTTGCAGGTGAACGAGCGCTTCGGTCTTACCTGCTCCAAGGTTGACGCGGAACCGAAAGGCTTCGAAAACTTGGAGAACAATAGTGCAAAGGCGACGCAACTTCGAGACAGCCCAAGTGGCTCGGATGAAATCAACAAGCAGGCAAAGGTCATCAGCCCATGCGATTTGAAGGGACGCATCAGGTCGCCCAAGGGCATCAGAGGAAGTGGCATGAACTATTTCTTCGGCCTTGAGCGCAAAATGGAGGCACTGCAAAATCACTGCGAACAAGGCTCCAAACAGGACATCGGCCAGTCCGTCCCCGGGCCGGGACCCTCGACCTGCCATAATAGCTTGGTGCTGGCCGACAAGGCGCCAGTACGAGCATTCAACACAGTCACGCAGGAGAGCAATCTGGTCAGCGGGAACCCCGAGACCCGCTAGGACGCCATCCTGAATCAGGCCATGAACATGACGAGGCAGCTGCAGGCCCGCAAGAGCTGGTTCAAGGTCACGACCGTGGAAAAGCAAAGTTCGGTCTGCCTCATAATATGCGGCCTGAATATCGACAAACAAGGCAGCCCAAGACCGGCCATGAACGGAAGCCAAGTCGACAGCTGAGCGGAAGACAGTGAGGGCAAGGCCGGTGTCAACGCCTCGCCTACCCCCGAGCTGGGTCGGAAAGTAGTGAGCAATAACTTCCTGACCCAGGGTGGCCCGAAGTTGGGAGTGCCACAACTTAGCCACTCCGTTCAGCATGGCAATGGACCGGAAGTTGGCGGGAATGTGAGCTGGGCCTTTTTTGTGGAGAGCTCCCACAGTAGAAGCTTTAAAGTGAAGTGGCTCGGCCTCGCCCCAAGCGAGGTGAACCCACATAGGCCACAACCATCGGCCTGCGCGATCGGGGTGGGTTCGCCAGACCTCATTACGAATGTGATCCGGGCCAGGGGCCTTGCCTCGGCGCTGGAGTCGACACATGTGTTCAACGTCAAGAAGGGTGGGTAAGGCTGAAAGACAAACGCCACGCGGTTCAGCAGCCCAAAGAGAAAAGGCCGCGCTCAATTGGGCATCCGACACCGGGCGGCCATCTTCCTGCTGCTGGAATTGTAGCTGGAGTTGCTCATCGATGTCAAACCCACTTGCGGCCCTAACATCACGTTTTTGCTTGGCACCTTTGGACGCCCAAGACAGCTTGGCAACCGCCTCGAGAGGGCGCCCGGTGGCATGCCAGTGATCGACTGCGCCGAGGAGCATGGATTCGAAGTAGGCCTGCTTATCAAGCCGTGCCTGTGCATGAGCCTGAGCTCGAAGGCGGAAACAAACATGTGCAAAATGCGCCATCATCATGCGAACCTGATGAAGTTCCCATGGCAGGGCTGGGGACTCAACGCGGCGGCGGCACCATGCCCGAAAGGCAACCAAACAGAGTTGCCGGTGATAGAGGGTGCGAAGCCGCCTAACCTCGGCCCGTGCGTCACGAAGAGTGTCAAGAAGGCCAGCAGCAACGTCGGACAGATAAGGTTGCCGTTTTTGAAGAGGGGGCCGGGCAGGAAGGCAGCGGATCGCACGGGCATGGGCAGCACAAAGTTGCTGAACTCTCTCCGCACTACTACCAGGTGTGGACTGGTGAAGAGCGTCCCAGACAGCTTCCGCGACAGCGGCACCGGAGTCAGCCGAGTAGGGACAGCGTGGATGCATTTTACCTGCTGACTTCCCGGAGACATCAACAGAAATGACAATGGGCATATGATCCCTTGCTTCGCCATTCAAGATATCAAATTCAGGAAATTGGCGATACTGAGAGACCCGAGTGCCATGGGTAATAAGCAAGTGGTCCAAGCGTTGGGTCTTACCGCCTGTGTGCTGCCAGGTCCAAGTGGGTCCAGTGCAGACCTCAGACCAAGTGCCAGGGGCAGCCAGCGCCGTGTCATGAGCACAGGCAAGAAGGAGATCGTCACCAAGCCTGGCTGGGCGGAGATTAAGAAGGTCGCCAACGAGGGTCTCTTCCTCATCACGGCCCGTAAAGTCAGCATTGGCATCAATACCTAACAGAACAGTACCGCGATTGCAGGCAGGAAGAAGTTGCGTCTTGAGATCATGCCAAAACCGCCGAATCTCCGCGTCCGGCCTCTCAGCATGAGGTGCATGGGCTGCAACCAGAGTAACCGGGAGCTCAGCGCGTTGACACTGCACTAACAGAATTTTCGGGCTGGCAAAACGGATGCGGAAGTCATCCAGACTCAAAGCAGGGTGCAGCAGGTCGGGGCGGATCCAAATTTCGACCCCGAACAGCCCTTTCTCGGCTCCCGAACGGAAGCTGAGAAAGCCGTGGGAGGACCATCGGCCCGGGCGGCTGCGGCACTCTTGAAGAAAAGCAATATGTACCCCCAGAGCTCGAAGCTGTTTAGCCAGGTAGATGCGGCGCTGTCCGTGTCCATCCCTATTGAAGAAGGACACATCAACATCTTTAATTGTCTGGATGTTGGCTTGCACAAGAGTGACAGTGGTACGAAGAGGTTTGACCTGCTCGTCATCTTGCCGCACCTGCGGCTGTATCTGCGGGGGCTCTTGAATGGACGTGCGGGGGCAATCAACCCATCCCGGTGAGCGCCAACACAACCGGCCTTCTTGCAGGCAAGCTTGCGGCAAGAGCCACATGAGCGGGGCACACTCTAAAAGTGAGTCACCAAATGTAGTCGGCAGACGGCACCATCCGACGGATGCACAACAGTCATGAGCAGTTCCGTACCCGGCCAAGGCATCGGCAATTTCATTGACGAGGTTGCCAGTATGGCCCGGCACATGCCTGAAGTGCGTCGAACATCGGGACTGGATCGACTGCCATAGAGCCCGGCAGACACGGGCATGCGGCGTTGTCGCCGAAGCATGGCCCCCTGCGACTTGAAGCGCTGCACTGTTGTCAACAGCTAAGGTAATCCTGGCAGGCGCGTTCCCGGTCAGGAGCTGCATGTTGTCCCACCACACTGTGAACCACGCGGCAGCAGACACTAAAGCGCTCAGCTCCCCCAGGTAAGAACGAAGGTCGAGATGGGTTGCAGGAAACGAGGGAAGCCACGGTGTAGATGCTAGGCTGCCGGCGTCCCAGCCGAGGCGGTACCAATTACCCTTCCACGAGACCCACACAGCTATGGCCCAACCACCCTTGCCTAACCCACTACCATCAGTGGCAATGAACACTTCGTCCGGAACACCGCCTGGCCAACGGGGAAACCGGCACCATCCCTGATGGAGCAGGGAAGCCAGTGACGAAGGAAGGTCGGTGAGAAGGGGCTTAAACAAATAATGCGCGGCCAAGCCGGCATAATGATACCCGGCGTCCTGCAAATCAAGACAATGCGTCGCAGAAGTCGCGGGAGAACCGTCGAAGTCGCGGTCATCGGCCGGCGCTCCCCACGCACGGCCATAACAGTCAAGCAGGGACGCGGACCATGCCGGTGGAACAAGAGCAGTCCGGGCAAAAGGCCTCCCAGCTGACTCAGGGGCAGCTAGCCAAAAGGGCAGCGCTCCTCCACGGCGAGGTCCCCCGACAACGGTAAAAGAACCCCGGCTTGGCGCAATCGGCGGCCACTTGGGCGACACCACACGAAGAGTCTGGGAAAAGACCGGCATCGCAACATAAGAAACAGTCGGTAAGACAAGGGTGCCACTGAAGGGAAACGCACCGAAAGAGGCCCCTGCAAAAAGGAGGGCTCCTCCACTGGGCCAGAGCGGCAATGCATTCCGCGCCAGCAGAAGGCCAGCAAGGCACAGCATAAGACGGGGGGAGGGAGCGCTGCTACCAAGAGAGCCGCTATCACCATCCCGAATCAGACCTCGCGTGCTGTAACGGGAGACCTCCAACAACCGAAGGGGTGGCTGCAGAGGCAGAACATGTGCACGATGCGGATGAAGACTCTCAGGGACAAGGTGGAGGCCTAGCAGATCACAGCGGGCCGCCGGGATCCAACGGTCGACACTGTACCGGGCCAAGGAGGGACGGAATGTGCAGTGTTCCGGGTCCCACACTTCATTTTGAACGGTGTGAACCGTCAAGGGAACAGGATCACCGGCCGACCACGCAAACAGAAGGCCTGGCGTACGAATCTGAAAGGGGCTACCCCAAAATGCAAATTTACGGGCCTGATAAAAGGTCTCCCAAAAGCGGCCACTAGGAGAGCGCAGGCGTGGAACCCAGCCGGCACATGCCAGGGTCAGCACGTCCCCTGACCGAAGGAAAAGAGTTGGGGTAAAGGAAGTGGCGGTGCCACACCAGATTTCGGGCGAGGCTAAAACACAAGCTAAATCAGGAACCGACCGCCGACAAGCACGGATAAGGTCTGCAGCATGACAGGTGGCTGGCAAGATTGCTGCTCGAGTCGCAGGCGGGCACTGAAGCAAGACAACAACAAAGAGTGGATCTGAAGGGACAGGTACCCAGTCAACTATGCGAGGATCTTGAGGTGGCAGGACTTGAGTAAAGTCAGACCACGCAACAGCAGCATGACGCAACTCCGCCGGCGGGCGATCAACAGGACCAGAAAACGGCCCTGACACAGAGCCGGAGGGCTCCCATAGGCGGTGACATTCCCCTATAGGATAAGGTGTGTCATGCATCCTAACTGCCCTAACGTGACCCTGCCCGGCGGCAGCGAGGCCAACTGTGATGGAAAGGTGACGGGCACCAACAGCCTCATGGTACCACCCGAAAACCAAGCCAGCAAGCAGAACCCAGGAGCTCGGGAAAGTCGGTAGAAATCGGGTAGAGAGAAAGAAAGCGAGGAGAACCCAAACGCCACCCGATAACGGGGCGACCTTGGGCGCTCCTGACACAATGTCACCATTGCGGAGGACAGTGCCTTGGCGCAGTTCCTGGTGTGAAAGACCCAGCACTCGTGGTTGAGTGGGAATTGAGGGCACATCAGTCCATAACTGCCAGGCGTCCGTCACGGCAGTGACTGGTGCACACCAGCACCTACCGTCAGCTTCAATGACAACATTGACATATGTCGGGTCCTCGGACACCACAACTAAATGGGCATGATCTTGGGCGATCCAGGGTACCGGCACCCAACGCCCAGGGTAGTGCTGACAGAATTCCCCAGCAAAAGTAAAGTCGAGGGCCCGCCACTGTGCCCCTTCGGGTGCATGTCCCCGGGTTGCACGGACCCCAGGGCGCCAGAGTATAAAGTTTATCCGGGCAGAGACTGAAAAATCGACGGCCCAGACAGCACAATGCCGAACCTGTGCGTCAGTGTGGAAGCACGGGGGCTGGTAGGTAGGCTCGAAGGCTGCCGGAGGCAGGGCGACAACAAGATCGCCTGAACGCCATCGGATAACGCCGTCAGGGGGCGTTGACGCGGCCAAGGAGCTAGGTGCCCGCAGGGAGAGCGCCTGAAGGGGTTGAAGGAAACGGAGAGCCTCCCCCAACCATGACAGGGTGGAGGAGCAGGGAATCAGGACAGAGAAATGCCGGTCCAACGAGGACACCGCCAGACACACGAGGCTGGGGTCAGGGGGTCGAGGAACGACCAACAAGGCAGGAAGGGCGGCAGTCGGCCAGACAGGCACAGCATCCGCACCCCATGCCGGCTCACAGGCCTGCGTCAAAGTGTGAAGCTCCGTAATGGCAGCGGAGGTGTAAAGACGACCGGCCTCCCGAGGCCCTGTGAAAGGACTAAGCAGAACAACATCCAATTCAGGGCGGACCGAAAGATCGAGGAGGTCGCCCTCACCAGGGCGCGCGCGCCATGGGTACAGCCCGACTCGGATGGGCGGATCGGGGAGCTCATAAGATGGCACCATGCCAGACCCTAGAACAACCCCGAGGACAAGCCCTAACCACCATGGAGCGCGACCAACCGAAACCGCGAGAAAGCCTAGCAGAGCCGTAGGGCCGGGCGAGGCAGAGGTCAGAGATTGATGCCAAGTGTGCTGGGCACTCTGCGGCTGCACATCATCTAAACTGGGAGGCCGGATACTGAAAGGGTCCCAAACCAGATCAGCAGTCGGGGCGATAACCAAGACGTCCCCGTCCCGCAGCGTGCTACCGGCACGCACATAACGGATGGCAGGTAACAATTGCCAGCCCAAGGGAATGCGGTGGGTGTTGCAGCCAGCTAGGAAGACCCCCACCGGTGTCTGCTCTGGCGGCAGAAGGAAGAGCACATGCGCTTCAGAAATTGAGGTGCGGGACATTAGATGTAGGTCCGACAGGTCGCCTGTAAGGACTGGTACCCAGGAACCGGTTAGGGTCTCTCCGCCTAAGCTTCGAAAAGTGGGGCCAAGAGGATCCCAATACGCATTGTCACGTACATAAACCAACTGGCCAAAACGGTTGGAGGTTGTCCACAGGGTGACGGGTCCTCCGGTGTCAAACCTGAAGGACAACGACCAGCTGGCAACCTGCCGCGCCCGATCAAGGGACGGATAGTGCAGAGCAGGGAACCGCGTAGAACCGGGTTGAGAAGAGTCAGGCAAAAAGCCAAAAGCATCACCGTTGCGAAGGCGGATGTGCATGTGCATATTAGCGGCGCGGATGGAAGGAGGCGGAATGACAACCCAAAACCGTGTGCAGGGAATGAGACGGGCGGCCAGTCGCTGAATGTCCTCGAGCGACGCATCAACCGACGCTAATGCAACTGCAGTGCCACTGAGGGTGTGGAAGACAACACTTGCCATCCCGAAGGGAGCAACCGGGGCAAGCGTAACTTGGGCAAACGGAAATGCCCCACGGACGGGAAAGAAGCGGGTTGCCCAGGCCCCACAGTGTCGGGAGCCAACAGCTTCAAACAGGGACCATGGCCCTTCCAACCGGGCAAAATGAGATTCACTCCAACCCCTCAGGGGGCAAAGGACTCGGGTGGTAAGAGGCCTTGGACCGGGAAAACAGCGGTCAAAACACAACTGACCGTCAGTACAATCAGGCTGCCACCCCGCCTGCAGGACATAGGGTTCGCCACTGCTGAAATCGACTCGCGCAGGAAAATAGCGCTGAGAGCTGTCCTGGCCACGGGAGCGACTCCGCCGAGGCGGCATCCTAGTGCGAATGGTGCGGGCTTCCGAAGAGTCGACACTGGAACATCGGCCCGAAGATCCTGAGGACACCGCCCAGGCGGGTCCGCTGAAACCATGCACGAGGAGCAAAAGCCCGGCCA